ATCTGTGACACCTCCAGCAGGTTCTGTGTCCAGGTTCCAGAACCTGCTGGCTGTGCTCACAGCTGACACTGATACCCACCCCCTGCCGTGGAAGTCACTGTCTGGGTTTGCAGCTGAACTTTGGGGCTCCTGGCAAACCACAGCTTTGACTGGGTTCTGGAGGGAGGGAGGGAGGGAGAGGAGAGGAGAGGAGAGAGGGAGAGAGAGATGTGGTCCTTGACAGGCCCCTGTTAAATGGCCCTACAGCTGAAATAATTGCCCAACCCTATGCTAAATGCTGAAACGAGAGAGAGCTGAAGTCTGTACTCATGTCAAACTGAAGTCCTTTGCACTGGGTTAGACGTTTTTCACCACTCATCTCTTGGTACAAAATTATTTTTGAACCCTAAATCATATGCAAGGTCAGCATTCAGATCAATAAGAACATTTCTCAATTTGCCATGGCTTGGATGTGTTGTGTGTGGCTGTAAGGTCCTGTAGTTTTTTCGGAAATATTTGCTGTAGGCCAGTCTGTACTTGGCTTGCAGTTTAGAGGCATGTGAATTGATTCTTATTGTTAATGTTTGTAAATATAATTAGGATAGTCCAGGAAGAAAATTATATATGTATAATAAACTTTTTAGGTTGTAAACTATTCAGGATAGGGACCGTGGTGCCTTGTGTATTTGCTTAGTGTTTTGTCGGGTTTTTTGTACTATGAAAAGTATTTTGAATGTAAAATATTAATATAACCTTATTAATCTTTTAAAAATAATAACATTTTACTATGCACACTTCTACTTAAAGCTAGGAAATGAAGAAGGGAAACTGATAAGTTATCTGCTAGTTCACCCCTTCTGTCTCAGTGAGTTTTATAAGGTGCTTATGAACCTGTAATTCAGAAGGAGTCTACCAAATTATATTCTATAATGTCCATGCACAACAGAACATGCTTTGAAGTTATTAGAATGCATTGTGTAAAGATATATTTAGACAATTTTAATTTATTTTCCACAAACCCACCCTAATGGCTTCTTTGGGGTACCTATCATATGATAGACTTTTCTTCCAGGGTGCATTTTGACTCAATACAGTGAAACAAGTAATTTGGAGATACTGCAGTCTTTCATGACAGTGGGTGCTTAGTGGGAGTGTCTACACAAGATGTTTATGGCAGAGTTGCCTAATTAGTTCCACAGTAAATGTCTTGGCTTCTCCACATGCAGGGCTAAGAGGCTGCAGGACACTAATAAACTCCGCATCAGGGTAGAACTTGTAAATACAAGTACTATCCTGTTGTAGAGACTTTTACTCCACAGCACAACACGTGTAGTATGGGATGTGGCTGGCTGGGGTATGAGGGCACTTCAGTGTGGGGGCCGCCTACCAGCTAATCCCTCACTGGAGCACTCGCGTGTCCCACCCAGCCCCTCTACAGCATGCTGAACCAGGTCAGAGCAGCCCTGGACTACTGGGCTGACCCCCTGGACTCCCTGCCAGCTGGGACTTCTCTGATCTGGCTCAGTGTGCTGTGGTTCCAGGTGCATGTGTAAACATGGCACCTGGAAGCAATAAACTCCAGAATGATACGCACCGGAGTTTATTGCTTTGCATTTATATGCACATATAGATGCACCCAGTGACTCTTAAATCCTGCGGTTATTCATTTGCTGCATATTTATTTACAAAGTCCATGTGATGTAAATACTTTGATGGAAAAATTCCTGAAAAGGAAGCTGTATAAATGGTGCAGTGTACAAAGTAAACTGCCTTCATCTGTGGAACAGTTTGTGGTTTTAAATGGATTTTATTTCTGCCCTGATCTTCAATCTTATCCCTGCAATAGAAAAGAAACACTCAGTGCATGTTATGGACTGATTAAATTACTGTTTTTTATGTTTTAAAAATAAGATTCTAGTGGAGAGTGTGTCTATCAAAAAAGAATTGATAAGTAACCTCTTATTTAGAAAAGGACCAGTCAAGGCCATTGCCCTATAATCATTAATGTTTGTCTTTATAAAGTTCAAAATCTGCCAGGAGAAGGAGATACCATAGTTGACTTTCCCTCTTCTCCCTTGACTTAGGTGCTTCTGTTAAGATAACAAAGAAAAATGAGGAGTCTTGTGTTTTTTTCCCCTCCAGAGTATGAAAAAAGTAATGACTTTCAATACTGTTTAGATCTATAGCATTACTTGGGGTGGGCAAGTGGGCCACCAGTCCTGGGTTCCAATTTAGTGGGTGGGTCAGAACTGTGTCCCTACCCTGCCCCCCTTCCTACCCTCAATTTATAGTGGTTTGCCAAGGGTGCAAGCCCTGTGCATTAAATCTGTGGTACTTATACACTAATTCCCAGTGTAGTTCAGGAAAACAGAGTACAAGATTCTTGCAGTCCTGACAGGTAGTGGGTAGCCTGTCCAACTCCAAGACCTTTGTTTACTAGAGACTGCTTAGTGAAGACAGAATGATGCAAATAATGGAAATTTTCAGCTGTATATCATGTTACAGAAGGAAGATTTCTTTCTTATTATGATCTTCCTTTTGTGGTTTGAAATAAGGACTCACTAGGTAGAATTTTGAATGCATTGTAGAATAAATCTAACCTTAATGCGGATTGAATGAGGTCCTTCATTGCCTGTACAGTCTGACTTTTTGATTCTGGTAGTTCTCTGAAAACATGTATAAATCATGAATTCATAACACATGTTGGTATGTAGAGCTGGTTGGCACAAAACTTTTTTTTAAAGAAAATTATCATAATTTTCAGTAAAACATTTAGTCAGCTTTCCACATTTTTGAGAATTCTGTGATTTTGTTGAAAAATGTGTTTTAAACCTGAATTTCAGTAATGGAAATAATGTTGATTGTTTCTATTTATACCATTGGAAGCTCTTTATCAATACAAAACCAATATGGGGAAAGCAAGTAGTGTGCAAGGATATGTTAGAAGTATGCTAACAGAATTGTGTGGGAAGCATTATGCCTGTCTCTAGCCAATGCACATAACTCTCTTTTTTCAGGCCTGTGTACTGTGTACATATAAAATTTACAATTTTTGTTATGATGATTATTTCTAATGCTGTACATCTTGCAGTGTCTTGATGTGATTCTTTCTAACTGCAAATTCTCTAGCTAAAGTTAAATTAAATTAATATTTTTCTTATAATGCTCTCTGAGCAGAGAGCTGTCCAAATAGTGTCCCACAGGCTGCTTGTGGCTCATGAGGGGTTAATTTATGGTCTGCGCCTCCCCCCCCCGCCCCTTTGCACCTAGCTGCTGCTCCCGCTTTGGCTGCAGCAGCAGCTGGGGGCTATGGCCTTCCCTGTTGGCTTCTGCTTCTTGTGTCTTCCCTAGGGCTCATGTGGTGTGGTGCTGGCTCATGTGGTGTGTAGTCAGTGAGCTGGGGTTGCTGTTGCGTGGTGCAGTGGTGTAAGAAGCCATGTATGCATCCAGTGCAGTGAGGCAGGGAGGTGCCTGTGTGGATGCAGCCTGGGGGTACTTGGCTTGCACTACTGCAGTCCACATGTCATGAAGCCCTAGTGGTGCAGCCTGCATGAAATGCAGCCCCCTGCCATTTAGACAGCCCTGATCTGAGCATATCTGTCCTGGATAATTATATATTTGTAGTGATTAACAGATACTTTGACTGAATTGAAGCTAGTAGTAACTAGAAGGTCTGCAGCAGTGGTTTATTGGGTTATTGCTGAGGCAAACCTAAATGTAATAATCCAGATGCCAGTAAAATGGAATGCCAAAGGTAGAAGAACCTTGCTTTATACAAAATGGATTTTTATTTCTCAAGTTTTTGAGAATAGGAATAGAAAATATTTTCAAATGTAATAGATCTGACATGGCAACATTGATTCCCTTCCCAAACTATAAATGTACTGCTGAATTGTTAATCTGAAAGTTGAGGCATGGAAGTCTCAAGGATCTGCAAAAGGTGACATTTCTTGAGTTTCAGCAGTATAGTGCAACAGGATTAGACTGGCAGTTCCTTTGCAAGGAATTTTAGGGTCTCACACTAGCTGCAGGTAATTTGTGCTTACAGTTAGGAAGATTTGTTGCATTTTTATGAGAAGGGATTTGAAGAAACAGGCAATTAATGCTCTTTTACAGAAGAGGAATTGTTTGCCAAACTAGAGTAGATTCTAATTAAAACACAAGTAGGGGAGTGTATTTTAAGTGAGTATAACAGAGCAGTGGGAGTGAGGAATCCTGGGTTCTAGATAGCTCTGTTAATGATTATATCTATTTGGCTTTGGGTAATTCCTACTGTGCTTCACTTAACTCATCTGTAAAATGACAAATATCTCACCTCCTATTAATTGTAATAGGAGGTTTGACTAGTACTGTTTATAAATCTGGGGAAAGTAGGTTTGTGTAACTCTGAAAGTCTGGTACATAAACTGACAGTTGGAAATGGTTTTGTGGTGCATTATTTGCAGGGATGCCTTTTCTGTTTTTAAATACCCTTTTTCTACTCTTTGGAAGGAAAAAAAAAGCAGCAGCCACTGGATTGTCAATTGTTATACAAAAACTAAGTAGTAAATTCAGTAAAAATCCTGAGATCACATTTTCTAGATGAATTGCATTATGTATAAGAAACAAAATTTTGCAACTCTAAGGGCGAAGACATAAGTGACATTTTTTGTGGGACCGGGCCTCTGAAAGCACTCTAAAGCCATGCTTTGATACATGTGTGTTTTTTAGCCCAGCCCTGCCCCTGGGGCTGTCAGCAGGGAGGGAGGGGGGAGGAAGGTTGGGGAAGCCAACAGCAGTGTGCTATCACCTGGGTTTTGCCTTAGTTTGAGAGTCTTAGTTCTTTACATCCTGCTTTTTAGCTCTGGAAGTCTATCTCCAGTTTGTCAGTCAAGATGGCAGCCATTCCCTGTATTCAGAACATTGGAAAGCCCATCTATAGCATGTATAAAGATTAATAAGGAGAATCTTGTATCAAGACAATGGTGTTTCCTTACAAAAACAAACCAACCAATCTGTTTTTTCCTGTCCTTTTCCTCAAGGATCCCGCCTTCGTCAAGAGGACTTTCCACCCCGGATTGTCGAGCATCCTTCAGATGTGATAGTCTCTAAAGGAGAGCCAACAACTCTGAACTGTAAGGCTGAAGGAAGACCAACTCCCACAATTGAGTGGTACAAAGATGGAGAGCGAGTGGAGACTGACAAAGATGACCCGCGCTCTCACCGTATGCTGCTGCCCAGTGGATCTTTATTTTTCTTACGTATTGTACATGGACGCAGGAGTAAACCAGATGAAGGAAGTTATGTTTGTGTAGCAAGGAACTATCTTGGTGAAGCTGTAAGTCGCAATGCATCTCTGGAAGTGGCATGTAAGTAAATCAGATCGTTTACACAATCTAAAACTTTATAATTGTTTTGATGCTAGTGCATAGCTCTGCAGTGCCAGGCCAGCAGATAACTAATGTAGGTAGGCATGATATTTTACTTTTAACTATCACTCTTAGTCAAATATTTTTCCTACACGTCTATTCAGAACAGTGACCATATGCGATTTATATTGAGGTACTGTTCCATCCTTATGATTATAAGTTTAATCGTGATTGAACGTAGCTTAGACAAAGCCTTATTCTTCCTTTTAAGGAGCAATCTAATTTTGAAACTGTTGGTAAAGTTAGTTATGCTGAAGCCTATGTGTAAAGAATTCTATAATTTAATGTAAAGTGCACTGTCTGTTTCTCTTTATTAAGTCATCTATTACTTTATTCAGTAGCAGTCAGCTTCTAGGTGACATACATGCTGTGTACTGTTGGAAGCCTCAGTACTTTCAGCATGCTCTTTTATCATAAACTAATACAGATCTCATTCATTTTGTCTGGCATGCGAAAATTGTTCGCCATTTCTCAAAACACCCAGAACAGCCGTGTTCCTATTGATTCTCGTTGTCTATGAGTGAAATCATCACAGATCTTTCAGAGACCACCAAACATGCATGATCTGCTTCCAGTAGAGCATACTGAAGGAGTCATTTTATTTACATGTCAACTTAGCCTGACTCACATGAAATGCAAAGTTGTTGCATATTGATTGTCCATAACTACCATATTTACTTGAATCCAAGACAAGATTTTTCCCCCCATTCAGTGTCGGGGGTTATATTAGAGT